TAATTTTTATTTTCATTATATGAACAACACTGGCACATTATAACTGTCTTTGAAACATATTACCATGCCTTAATTTTGTCTTGATATTTTTTCAAATTATTGATTTTATTATTTTTTTATTGTCCCAATCTTACAATGTGAAAAGGCCTCATAAAATAGTATTATGTCATGATCATATAAACTAAAAGGAAAATAAACATAAACCATGTGTAAATATTTATTTATCCATTCATTCATTCATTCATTCATTCATTTAATTTAATTTCATTTCATTTAATTTCATTTCATTAAAAAAAAATAATAATTTTCAACATCATTTCCACCTTGACCAGCAAGTGGGGGAAGTCACAGTAATCCTCCTGTGATGCATGAATGCTGGACATTTACATATTAAGCTAGTGACAGAAACACCCCTAAATGTTACCTTAAAGAATATATGTCCACAAAACGTTTTAGCACCTCATTTTTTATTTTAAATCATTCATTGGAAATTCTCCTTTTTTCCATATGTTCTAATGTCCTTTGAAATGAATGAACATTATCTCTAATTTCCAAGTAGTCAGTAAGAAAATAACCTATTTAATTAAGAAAATAAATAAAAACAATTGTGATATTGTCCTGTGTGGCATGACTGAGTCCTCTCATCATATTTGTCTATCTAGCATTTTTGTCATAGATCATAATGCCTGGCATATGAAACTATGAAAAGAATTTCAGTCAACTGAACCGGTTTTGGCTGGTATGTTGACGATTGGCGACAAATGCACAAAGATATAATCCAATGAGTTGCCTTACCTGTTCAGCCACTCTCACCATCATATACATGGCTGTTAGCATTGTCGCCAGCATTTTGAAAGTCTATTCACTGCCTTTGTGTTTTTCTTCAGGTAGTCCCGTTCAGAGCACGTCAACCGTGGTTATACTCAGGGAAGTCAAGGATCTAGAGCTGCATCTTTCTATTCAGCCAGACACACTCAAACGGCTAAGTCATTTAAAGAGCTTTGCGTTACAGAAATAGGAGGCATGTAATCTTTTCCTACACGCACATGAGCGTCTATCCCTCTGGGTAGAGCTTTCACCTCATCCTGAGCCAGACATTACGCTTAACTTGAATTTCTTGAACTTGACTCAAAGGAACAGTAAGGAACCACCTAGAACACTCTAGTAACCTCACTGCAAAGTGATAAAAACAGAGGCAAGCACTAGTTTACACATGAAAGATGTACTTTTCATATAATATAGTATATACATTCATATACACTTTTATATATTACAGTGTTCAACATTTCAATGTAAGTTTGAATAAATATAATATTTGAATAACTATATTTTATTTGTTAAAAAAATGATTTCAATGCTTCTGCATTACCTGACAAAAGCTTTGCTTTCCACTAAGAAAACCGTTTGCAAAACACTTGGGTTGAGTTCCCGGGAAATCTTATGTTTGCTTCCAAAAACGTTGAAATATTGTTTTAAAGTTCCTCTCATATTATTATCATGGGGCTCTGTAAAATACATTTACACCAGGACATAAAAAAATCACATTTGTAAACAGGACTACCTGTAAAGCAGATGTTATTGATGTACATGAATGTTCAGAATCTCTTCTCAACTAATCAGACTTTAATCAGTCAGCAACTGTATAGATAACAGAAGGTGTGATGTCATTAATGAAGTCATCACTCTTTCATGGAAGCCAATCATGTTTGAAACCACAGCAGCACAATCCTTATCTAAACACCATAAATGCATTAAAAATGGAGAGCAATAATGATTAAAACTTGTTTTTTTTTTTTTTATTTAGTGCTTGCCTGTGAAAAACCAAATGTTTAACATAAGTTACCAAGCTTTTTTGTGAAATGTTTTACTTGAAAAATCTATTAATGCTTAAAAATAAATTGATTTTTTTATTTTTTTTTTATTATAAATTACACTTGGTTCGACATTTTGCTGACAAAACAATATGTATTATAGAAGTGTTTTAAATGATCACATTGCATCATGTAGGACATGGATTATTTGGTACTTTTTTTCTGCTGCATGGGGGTTGTTGTTTTCTGAGTGTGTACGTGATAAAGACCTGCATGTGCGTAGATACCTAATGAACGGTGTGGTGCAAATTCCAAAAAAGCAGACTGTATCACTCTCAAGGCTCATATAAAAGCTCAATGTCATGCTAGTCATGTCAGTTCCATGTCATGACAGCACAGCAAACAGCCAAAGAAGGCATCATACATTTCCGGTAAGCTTACTTGCTTATTTATTCATTTGTTTGTTTGTTTGTTTGTTTTAACTCCAAAGCGAGATGATATGGTAATATGTTAACAATGATACTAATGACGACATATTTTGTATAAAACCATTAGCAAAGTTTAGTATTTCAGTAATTTAATTAAATGAGGAATTGCATAGGTATGATAGTATAAATGTGTACTTTATATTTGACTTGAACTGAATGGATTTTAACTGATCTGTGGTTTTGGTTCTATGTTTAATAAATTATTCACTAGCGACTGCCTAATACTTGCTGAGGAATGCAAAATCAAAAGCACAGAAATTAGATTTCCATCTGTGTGGCTTGTGAAAAGCATACTTATAACCCTCAGGAAAGATGAATGTTTAGTAGTTGAGGATAAATTAATTTTGCTGAAAAATACATTAAATGCTGGTTGTATTGACAGTTATATCGTCAAATGATAAAAGAAAATGTGTGATTTTGATGTACAGGACACATTTATACACACTATTAGACATCCAACCAATAATGCAGCAACAGTCAGAAAGTAATTAGCCCAGTACGATTAACATAATTTGTCCCCCTAAGGCAAAGTGTCAACAGTTTTATTAAATTGTGTTCCTCAGATGGATGCAGTTTAGGAAAAGTTGGATATGATTTATCCTCTGTCAAGGATATGAACATATAATTTGCAAATACCTATCTGTCCTAAAAAGTAGATTAATGAATCTATTATCAGGTCTATGAATATATTATTAGGTGGTGTCTGGATGAACTCTCAAATTGTTGCTGCATAAAAATTTGATTAAATTGACTTTTGAGTTGACATTTGAGTTGAATTTGACTAAATGTAATGTAATCCAAGCTAAAGCTTGCATTTTGTATTTGCATGTTGTATATATTGTGTACTTGCAAGTCATTTCTTTACTTCAGAGTTATGTGCCCTCTAGAAGCTTGCTGTCTGCAAGTGAACATCACTTTACTGTGCCATCCCAAAGAGGCACAAAATCACTTTCACAGACTTTTAAATTAAATGTTCCCTCCTGGTGAAATGACCTACCCAACTCAATCCGAGCAGCTGAGTTCTAAGCCATCTTCAAGAATCAGCTAAAACACATCTCTTCCATCTTTATTTGACCCTTTAACTCTAGCACTCTCTATTCTAATGATATTCTTAAAAAAAACTTGTCCCTTTAGACTTGCACTCTATTCATTTACGAACTGCTTGTTTTCTTAAAAAAAAAAAACTAGCTTCTCTAATCTTGTTGCATTCTATCTATTTGTTGTCTTTTGATTTATTATACAATTAACAAAATCAAAAAAGGCCTCTAACACTAGCTTGCTCTATTCTCTTTCTATTCTATCTGTTTTCTTTTTATTTATTATATAATTTAAAAAAAACTTGCTACGTGTACTGCGTTAAGCTAACTGAGACTTGTTATAGCACTTGCATATATTTGTTCTCTTGTTGATTTTGATTGCTTCCATTGTTCTCATTTGTAAGTTGCTTTGGATAAAAGCATGTGCTAAATGACTAAATGTAAATTTAAATGTACTTGTATTCATTCACTCATTCACTTAGTTTCTGAAGCAGAAAGAGGGACATTCTTTAACATGTTGTTTTTGGCCGGCAGGTCAATGTGATCCTTCGGATTGTAACTGACAATTAAATAAACATTCTAAAACAATGTCTCTACATCGGAAGACTATCCCCGACCCGGGGCCCCTTACTACTGAGATAGGTAAGAGTTACCATATGCATCAAATTTCTGTTTCCATCATCCCATTATTAAGCATTTCTTTCCAATCTTTTTAGAAACATCATATATAACATCATAGTTTTCATGATTATTGCAAAATTATTATAATTAGAAAAAAAGTGATAAACACGGAATTTATTCACCAAATATGGTTCTCCTCTAGTGTCTGAAATTGACAGGGACAAGCATATTTTACTGCACATGCTGGACCTGCACAGGGAAAAGGTGGCACCTTTGGACCTTACAACAATGCAATATGTAAGCACTCCAAGCACTGAAGATGACCTTCCACAGGACCCAACAGAGCTCTTAAATGCATTCCTCCGGCGGCTCTGGCTATGCAATCCCCAAGCCCGCAGCACTTGCTGCAAGGTACCAGTAGGAGATTACGGTTTGGACATGGATGAGAATTCACAATGCGCTATCAATCCTTTAGACCTGGTTGCTGTCATCTACATGACAACAAATAGTTTCCTACAGCAAGAGATCACCCAGCGGATGTTGCAGTGCAACTTTGCAGTGCCTCTGTATCTTCCCCCTATTCACCCAGAAAAGAAGGGAACCATCCTCCTGTGTCCATTTAGAGGTGTTCTCGGTCAGTGGAAGTCACTTTCTGAGGGACCCATCATGAAGAACATGGCCGATTCCAGGATGCCATTTCTCTCCGCAGTGAGGCTAGGTTCCTGCAACGTCTCGAAATCTCGAGTACTCAACCGTGTTCTTGGGGGTCATGAGCTGAATGACTGCTTCGTAAACTGTGGTATGGAGGGAGGGCAGCTGACTCGAGTTCTCTCTGATGGTCTGGTGGAGGTTTGCTGGAACCTGCATTCAGGAGATTGTCATAACAACATCTTTTCTCGTCCTGTGCTAGTTGCTAATCTTCGTGGAGATGCAGCTGACTGCGAAAAACAGATGAGTCTTCTGTGTTACACATCTGCAGTCCTCATAGTTTTCTTTGGAAGTTTTGGTGCCAAGGAACGAGACCTACTTGCCTCATGGAGGGACAATACAAGTCACATGATTATAATCGACTGCTCAACATCAGTAGAGGATGGACAAGAGAATCAAAATGAGAAAATGAAGCAAAGGCTGATGAAGGATTTAGAACTTCCTGATGGAACAATGCTTAATGGCTGTGAAGGTGATGAGGAAGAAATTGCTGAGAAGTTAAGAGATGTTCTGGATCGCTTTATTCCATACCTACACACCACAAACCTTGTAGGTACAGCCGGTATGGCCAATGATCTCGACATTAATGTTGATGAAGATGAGCTCTGTCGAATGGCATTCAGTGAAGTTGAAGAAGTCCTCAGTGGAATTGAAGATGGAGTGTCTAGCTATTTGGAGAATCATCTGCCCCTGCAAGGTACCGTATGGAAACAGTTGTGTCAGCTGGAGAAGAAGGAGGCACGTCACCTACAGCATACATCCCAGAGCTTAACAGCGGAGAAGGAAACCCTTATAAAACAACTGCTTGATTATAAACTAACAACATCCATGAGAGCCTTTACTGCAGCTCTTTGTTCATTTGACAAAACCAAGCGGGCATTCTTTCTCTCTTGGATGAGAGTGAAACTTGAAGTTATGCAGTTGGATAACCTGTCCGATCAAAGGGAAGCAGATGAGGAACAAATGCAAGAACCTTGCATTGGACTTGAACATTTCCTTCGAGAGATGGGACTGGTCTACGAAAGATACTTTCGTGGCCCAAACAGTGACTTGTACGACATGTTCGGCTTACCATATTTAGGGGCTGAACTACTCTTTTATGGAGTTCCCCTTGAACTCTATGATGGGGATGCCTCAGTTTTTCCCATGAACTGGGTATACAGTGTTCTTTACGAGGTACACAAGCAGCTGCCAAAGTTCAGTCGCATGAGAGTTCTGACAATCCTAGGTTTCCACAACTCCAAGAACGCAGAGGTCTTATCTGCCTTGTTTGGGGTCAACTTCCCAAAATGGGGTAGAAGGCATATCAAAGGGGCATGCATGCTTC